GCATTCGCAGTTTGAGGCCGGAAAAAAAGTTACAGGCAAGCAAGGGTTTTGGAATCCCTCGTGGGGAAACGGCACGAAAAAAGTTACAAGTAAGCAAAAATAAAAGTTACAACTAACTAAATCCAGTTCAAAACCCTAAAAGTTACAAGTAAGCAAAAAATTACAACTAAGCGTGCTTCCGTCAAAAGCCCCATGCGCGCAAGCTCCGCGCAAGGTTGGCGCAAACGTTTGACTCACGAACTATGGCTGAACTCAAGCCATGTTGTCAACAGCGAAAATTTGAAATTGCATGGCGAATTTGCGCAGGCTGCGCGCAAGCTTCGTGCAAGCTTTGCGCAAGCTCCGCGCAAGCCCGCATAGTTGTTGGCAGCCTCTATCTAGCCCATTCTGGCTCCCTGAATGTTTAGTAGCGACGCGGCGACGTTCAAGAAGTGGTTGGTTGCTGGCCAGCCTGGCCATTTAGGCTACATAGCAGTTTCGCAATATAAGCCATCTCAATTTGTCAGCACGATGAGACTGCACGAAAACAATTTGAGCCAAACTGCGCGCGTGCACGCAAGCTTCGCGCAAGCACGGCGCAAGCCCCCGTTTCGAGATGAAGGTACGTGGGACAACCCCCATGTGAGTTCGTGCGAGCCATGGGACATCATGATTTTAGCATCGCCAACGCCATATCCTTTTCAATTCGGGCAGTACGCCTTGTAATGCTGCAGCCCGAATGCGTGACCTTGATGCTGCTCAGAGGTCCCGCTGCCTAAGCTGAAATACTGTAGTGCGGAAGTTGTAAGTTGGATGTCGGATTCCATGTGTTCACCCTCTGGCACAGTATCAGCCTCTGAGGGCTTAGAGATCTGGTTGAGTGCGCCCAAAGAAGGTGGCCGGTGCGGCATTTCAACAGCTCATGCCGGGGTGTTTCAATGTTGGGATTGGCCGGAAACTCCGCGTGGAAGTTTTTATATATACGACGACCACAAGCTGGCTTAGAAGGCTTTCCGCGACAGCTCACGATGGTCGCGAAGTGAACATTAGATTTCGCGACAGAAGTACCGCAAGCTACATAGTTCCTTACATGCGGTGGGTAGTGGTCATTTTTAAGGTTCAAGCTTTGGTTTCTGCTGGAAACATGCTTCCGTGAAAGTTCGCGCTCGTGTTTGTGAAAATAATTTTGGATTTCTGCGAAGAGGTCATTCTGTCATGTGAGGATTTTGGAAATCCGTTATGTCAAGCGCGAGAAGCATTTGAATTGGTGTGAAGCTCTGCGCTGAAATATCTGTTAGGCTTCCATGGTGGTGCTGTAGCAGCTCCGTCTAAGGAGGTAGGAAAGTTGTTTATGCAACCTCAATGTTTCAAGGTGGGAACTGTTACAATATGATGTCGTGCCCTCATGAGTTGACTCAGCCCCGTCTGCAGTGCATGAAGACTGGCCAATGTCGCCGGCAACTGCATCTTCGCCAACTGCGAGCTCCCCGAAGGCGGCCAAGACCTTATTGCATTAGTCTGCTTTTAGCAGGTGCCAAGTGTGGCAATACATGAGGGACAGCTGTGCCACATCCAGCAAGACTCTGTCCGTGCAATGTGTGAGTGAGAATGTTCTAGCCCGACTAGACTGGATGCAGGAATTCTGCTGTACAAATTACAATCTCCCGATAAGGTGCAAAGCCCTGGGCCGCTCCTGTCCCCACAGATGTCTCCAAAAGCCCGACCAGCCGTGCAGGCGCCAAGAGCAAGCGCAGCATCGTGCAGAGTTGGTGCCTGTACGACCCAACCTGGACAGGTCTTCTCCAAGCCGGAGGAGCTGAAGACGCAAGTTCATGACCAGGCACCAGCATAAGTAATTGGGCGATTCTGCCCGGGCATTCGAGTGCAACACACAGAGCAGTGCTAGCGATTGGAAGTGCCAGTTGCGGCATGCTGGCACCGTGGTCAGCCTGTTACCCAGATCTTAGCCATCTTTGCCAGCTGTGAGACACAGTGCAGAAGCTGCGGATGAAGCGCAGACAAAGGTCTTGCCGATTTGCACGTGAAGAGCAACTCCATGATGAGGACCATCGGCGGCAAGGCTGGGCAATGGCTCGTAACAAAAAACTCCTATGCTCAGATGTGAGCGCTTCAATGTCCCACGGTTCTGCTTCTGTTCAAAGCAGAAGCAGGTACAAGCATCAGGAAAACATGCAGAGGTAGACATTCCCTTCAAGGCCAGAAGCCCAAATGTGTTGTTGCAGGTGGATGACCGGCGAGGCAGAAACTCTGCTGCCAAGAAGCCTGCACTATCAGCCATGATCACTTGGAATTCATGTGGGTTGACATTTCTTTTCAGCCGTCCGGACAACCTCCAAACACTTGAACCCTGGTACTGAGGAGGGTCAAGGCCAACAACAAGTGGCTCTGTGACTGCTCCTACATCACCTGTGGCGAGAAGGCCAGCATCTGTCTACAGACTCATCTGGTTGACAAGCGCCCTGTCGTGTGTTGGTACTCCAGTTCTCTTTGCAAGTGGATTGCCGAGGATATCAGTGTGGCGGCTTTTGTTTGAACACTGGCAGGCATTCCATGATGCTGTCTCCGACTTCTCCGAAAGTGGAGGCCAACGGTTTGTTCGTTTGGGCTCCTGAGTGGCTTGCACGTTGCGGTTGATACTGCTGTAGCTTGCGAAGGCACATGCTGTATTCTGCCTCGTTTCAGGATCGGCGCAAGTTGAAGTCCGCGCAGGGCGTTTGCCACCAAGACTTCCCCAATGCATGGGACATGTTCAGCAGAGCAAGGGTTGCTGGGATAGACTGCCAGTCTTGATGTAGGGTGCGTTGCAGTCCTCTCTCATGGTATGATCTAGTCGTACAGTCCAAAGCGCCTCGGGGGGGGCAACTGGGGCGCAACTCACAGTCTGATGACAGTATCCGCGCAAGTGCCCTCGACACATCGTCTGCAAAGATAATGAGATCCAACAGTTGGATGCTTAGTCCAACCAGTTCCAGGTATTCTGCAACTGAAGTTGTTTATGTTTCTCTGTTGGATGTTAGCTGTTATAACGCAATGTAGCACATGATCGGCACAAAGCAAGGGTAATCTGCGCCAGATTAAGCCAAGCCATGGTGCGGCACTGATGAAGAGACGTACCACATCAGAGGACAGAAGGTGTCTCAAATCTAGCTTATGAGCTTAGTTTTCAGACGGATCGGCAGCATGCAAGCGCGAGGAGGTTATGTTCAGCCCTCCATTCCACATTGCGCTTGCTTCTACGAGGATGCAAGGCAGTGCGCAGTTCAACTTGCGGGAGGAGAGCTTCAATTCACTTCCCATTGACATGAACCGCTTTCAATTGTTCAATCCGCTGTATCAGGAGCAACGAACTTTGACACGGCCAGCATGCAGCAATGATGCGGCAGAGCGCCCTGTACATCCTGAAAAAGCTGCCGCAGAACCAGGCCTGAAATTCTGATCTACATAGTGTGAAAAAAGGTGCGGATGCTGTTAATGCTGTTCGATGAGATCATATGCCTATTCAAATTTGTTTTATGCTCATGGCCGGAATGTTGGAATGCAAGCGCAGCTCGTGCCCTAAGTCTGGATATGGCTTTCTTAGCAGCTGGGCCGTCTGCGTCGGCATTCCGATGTTGATATGCATGATTCATTCTGACAGACTCTAGCCTGCTAAGTAGCTGTTTGGTCTCTGTCCCAAGTTGGAAGGCTTGAAGCAAACATGGATGAGCGGGCGGTGATCAAGGCCGGCAATGTGATGTTTACATTCTCCTCAAGCCAATGCACGGGTTAAAACGGGCTGGCACATTATCAAGTTGCAACACCTCAATCTAGTTGAGCATGCCTGCATGCATGCATGAGCGATGAAGACAAGCTGCCGCGCAGCTTTGCACACCCAAGTTCAGCCATAGATGACGGGAAGCACAGAAGTGTTGAATAATGTTAGCTTGCAGCAGTTTCCTTCATGTTTGTACTCATCGCATTTCGACGCCCTCTGCTCTGGCCATGTCAAAATGGCTTCTGTTTGCGATCGCTGCGCAGAAGCAAACAGTAGCAACCCACATCAAAGCTGCATGCAGGTCAAGGATCTCTTGACAAACTCTGCTGCCATTTTCCAATGTTGCAGAGCGTCGCTGAGGTGGTGTTGTTGTCGTGGAGTGGCGGACAAGTTGCTGTGTGGCCAGACAGCAAATCTTCACGGGACTCTTACACATGGCTTTGCAGCATGCAATAGCATCCATCATTAGCTTGTGGAAAGAAATGTGCTGCTCTCAAGCATGACAGTATCTCGAATTAAGGTCTTATTAGGGACTATTCCAAATTAGGGCCTCATTTAGGGCGTATTAGGGACTATTTCAAATTAAGGGCTTATAACGGACTATTCCAAATTAGGGCCTTGGACAATTCTTTTATATACATTCCTTTATGCAAGCCGTTCAAAAACAGTCAGAAAATCTAGGAAATCAAGGAGGTCCCTGATCCGTGAGAGTCGTGCTAACGATCACCCTAATTCAGAGGATCCGAGCCGCAATTAGCTTTAGTCTTGGCCCTTTTAAAAATAGTCTCTGGATGTCTCTGGGGCAGATTTCGGAATTTGGAATTATGGCGAACCCGAGTTTTATATCAGGGGGGTTTAATATTAGGGGGAAAGGATTTCAGGCAACTGGTTGGCCGACAATCCCCACAATGAAGACGTCTTACCAAATCTCTGTTCTGGCAAGACGTCCCTGCTAATGTCTTATCTTCATGATCTTGAGGTAGAATGCGCAAGATCAAAACCTGAAGGTCAACCTAAGATTTCCAGTCCTGAAGAGGCCCTAAGATTCTACATCATCTTACATTGTCCTACGTCCTCTAAGGCTGCGACGCATGCGACCCGTTGCAGTCCAATGCTCGAAATTAGCCACTCTAGCTGGACGCAACCCGTTCGAGAAGACGGCTGCAACTTGACAAGTTAAACAAGAGACAACTGCGGGCGAGGATGACGTGTTGAGGCGTAGAGTCTGCAGTGACGCAACAGAAGACCATGAGGGCGGGGTTTTGGGTTCTGCAGAAAAGCATCCTGGTCCCAGGTTGGCTGGCGGAATGTCATCAAGGGCAACTTCCCTGTTGTGTACAAGGAGCTGGTTCAGCAAGACGGCAGCCGCTCGCTTGAGGTGTCATCAGCTTGGGGCAGACAAAAGCTGCAATCATTGAAGCATCAAGACGGGCAACCACCACGAGCAAGAGCAACGGCAGCCCAAGTATGAACGTGCGCCAAGAACACAAGAGCAGACCAAGCGGAAACTGCCACTGAGATCATGCGTGCTCTCATGGTGATCTGTGCAGGTTGTTGACCTTATCCCGAAGCTCCGGGCTCTTTCAGCCTAGAGCTCTCTATCTCTACTTAGATTCCCCTGCCAAGAGACCAGCATCATGAGCATCGGTTGCAAAGCTTTTTCCAATCCACCGGCAAGAGCCCAGCATCATGAGCATCAGTTGCTAAGTATTTTTCCAATCCACCGGCAAGAGCCCAGCATCATGAGCATCAGTTGCAAAGCTTTTTTTCCAATCCACCGGCAAGCGCCCAGCATCATGAGCATGAGTTGTAAAGGTTTTTTCCAATCCACCGGCAAGAGCCCAGCCTCATGAGCATCGGTTGCAAAGCTTTTTTCCAATCCACCGGCAAGAGCCCAGCATCATGAGCATCAGTTGCAAAGCTTTGTTCCCATGCACCGGCAAGAGCCCAGCATCGTGAGCATCAGTTGCAAATCCTTTTTGGAATCCACCGGCAAGAGCCCAGCATC